GTTTGAATTGCACGGATAATAAATGCCTACGGAAATTCTGAGGTCGCTGTTGTCCCAAAGGTGCTTTTTTCAAGAGGCAACTGGACCTTTTTTTTTTCTTTTTGTCTTGAAGACGTTTCGCTTCTCATCCAAGAAGCTTCTTCAGTTCTTCAATAATGCCGATGAACTGAAGAAGCTTCTTGGATGAGAAGCGAAACCTCTTCAAGGAAAAAAGAAAGAGTCCGGTTGCCTCTTGAAAAAAAGGCACCTTTGGGGCCTGCCTGGACAATGGTTCCAAAATTTCCCAAGGACATCAAAATCTGCTTGTATGGCTTAACACAGGGCTTTTCAACCTTTTCACCCATTGGACCACTTTTAGGATATGGCAATATCCGAGTACCACCAGTCGCCTAGCAAGGTGTCAAAAATTTGATGACCCCCCCCAAAAAAGGAAAAAAGTGATAAAGTACAGGTAGTCCTCGACTTACAACAGTTCGCTTAGTGACTGTTTGAAGTTACAATGGCATTGAAAAAAGTGCCCCCCAAGGCACAGCCGAGCAGGACACCTGTCTGCCCACCCGGCGGCGCTTTTCCTCCTGTCCGAGGTTTTCATTGTTGTGAGCATTTCTGTTCAGGATTGGCAGCGGGGGTGAGGTGGGAGTGGGGTGTTTGGTTTTTATTCCCCCCCGTCTGCTGAGTGGTTGCAGCAGGTTTTGGTCACTTCACATGACCCTGGGACACTGTGACCGTCATAAATATGAATCAGTTGCCAAGCATCTGAATGTAAATCACAAGACCCTGGAGACGCTGCAACATTCCAGCTGATCGGCGCTTCTGGGCTCAGCAGAAGCGCCAGGATCAGTGCTGCTTTCCAGCTGATCGGCGCTTCTGGGCTCAGCAAAGGTGCCAGGATCAGTGCCGAGCTCCAGCTGGAGCCTGGCGCTGAGCCTGGCGCTCCCACTGAGCCCTGACAGTCCCGAAGAAGCGCCGATCAGCTGGAAAGCGGCGCTGATCCTGGCGCTTCCGTTGAGCCCTGACAGCCCTGCAGCTCCAGCCGTCTCTCGCTCAGGCTTGTGCGGTGCTGCCACCGGTTCAGCTCATTCCCCTCCCTCACTACCACTTTTCTAGGATGTTCACGTACCACCTGCCAGGTGCCAACGTACCACAGGTGGCACCCGTACCACTGGTTGAATAGCCCTGGCTTAACATATCCCTGGTTGTCTCCTTTGTGTGTCGACAGTGGATTTGTTGCGACATTCGCTACCTGGATGTTAGCATCTTGGGTAAGTTCGCTGTGGTGATGGCTGACCCGCCCTGGGACATCCACATGGAACTTCCCTATGGGACGCTCACGGACGACGAGATGAGGCGTCTCAACATCCCAGTCCTGCAAGACGAGGGGTTCCTTTTTCTGTGGGTCACCGGCCGGTAGGTGATGCAATGGGAAATTGATGAAAGAGCCAATGGGAAGGAGCCTAGACCAGTCCTGACTCAGCATTGACTCAGCAAGTGGCAGCTCCTGGCTGACCTTGGTTGAACTAAGAAACACAATCCAGGGTGGGAAACTAAAATATATGAAGAACGGTTGCTAGAATTGGGTATGTCTAGTTTAAGGAAAAGAAGGGCTAGGGGTAACAGGATAGCAGTGTTCCAATACCTCAGGGGCTGCCCCAGAAAGAAGAGGGAGTCAAGCTATTCTCCAAAGCACCTGAAGGCAGGACAAGAAGCAACGGATGGAAATCAATCAAAGAGAGAAGCAACCTAAAAGTCTATGGCAGTGATGGCGAACCTTTTAGAGACTGAGTGCCCAAACTGCAACCCAAAACCCACTTATGCATCGTCGAGTGCCGGGTGGGCGTGGCCCATTGGGTGGGGGTGACCCATTGGGTGGGCGTGGCTGCGGTGGTAACGGCCGACTGGGTGGGACTAAAAAAATTCAATCAATCAATTCCAACTTTGCAAGATCTTTTTTCTCCTGTGAGAAATTGAAATTGACTGATTGAACCTTTTTTTTTTTTTTGCACATGGCAGCGGAGGCCTAAAGCGAAAAGGTTTTATAAAGCCCAGCTGAAGGCCTAGGACTGGGGCGACGGCACGCATGCCCACAGAGAGGGCTCTGGGTGCCGCCTCTGGTACCCGTGCCATAGGTTCGCCACCACTGATCTATGGAGATTCTCAGTCATCCAAGTCATAGTTGTCCCAAAGATAAGTTTTTCACAAGAGGTTTCTGGAATGAGAAGTGAAAAATCTGGATGGTGGGGAATGGAAGGATTTATACTCCTTGAAGACAGCTGGTCATTTGCTTTGTTTTGAGAGAGTCGTTGAGGCCACTTGGAGGTTTATCTGTGTCCTCAGGGTCACCTGAGTGGTGCAAATGGGTGTGGAGCCTTCTTGGCTGCAGGATGTTTTCTGCCCGGGGTCCCTTCACGGTTGAAGACAGGTGCACAGGTTAATAATAATGATGATGATGATGATGATGATGAAGAAGAAGAAGAAGAAGAAGAAGAAGAAGAAGAAGAAGAAGAAGAAGAAGAAGAAGAAGAAGAAGAAGTAGTAGTAGTAGTAGTAGTAGTAGTAGTAGTAGTAGTAGTAGTAGTAGTAGTAGTTGGAAGGGACCTTGGAGGTCATTGAGTCCAACCCCCTGCTCAGGCAGGAACCCTACACCATTTCAGACAAATGGCTGTCCAGTCTCTTCTTAAAAACTTCCAGTGTTGGAGCATTCGCAGCTTCTGGAGGCAGGTAGTTCCACTGGTTAATTGTTCTAACTGTAATTTCTCCTTAATTCTAGGTTGCTTCTCTCCTTGATTAGTTTCCATCCGTTGCTTCTTGTCCTGCCTTCAGGCGCTTTGGAGAATAGCTTGACTCCCTCTTCTTTGTGGCAGCCCCTCAGATATTGGAACACTGCTATCATGTCCCCCCTCATTCTTGGGGATGAGTTTGTGTTGTCTGCATCTCAGACCGAAGCGCAAATGGTTCCTGTAGTCTGCAATGTTTTTTTTTCTGGAAATCCGTTCATACTCCCGCACCCTTCGAAGGGTGTTCATCCCAAAGTGTATAGCTAAATGTTTATGGAGATTAGTTAATTCACTAATCTGTTTCCACCTTACCCACAGAGCCATGGAATTAGGGCGCGAGTGTCTCAACCTGTGGGGGTGAGTATAGGATTTGTTGTTGCTGTTTTTTCCCCTTGTATAGTAAAGGGACCTGGCTCATCCTTAACGTTCTGCAAGTCCTCTTCTGCCTCTTTGACCAGGCTCTGTTTCGTGTCTTCCCCCTCAGGTACGAGCGGGTGGATGAGATCATCTGGGTGAAAACCAACCAGCTGCAGCGTATTATCCGAACAGGAAGGACAGGCCATTGGCTCAACCACGGCAAGGAGCACTGCTTGGTAAATAGAGCAGGAGTG